TCCCTTAAATCTATTTGTCACCTCTACTGTATATTCATCAGGGATATGATTCAGGTCATACCTGAGTGGCCTAGTGCTTTTCCCTACTTTCTTCAACTTAAGCCTAAATTTTGCAACAAGGAGCTCATGATCTGAGCCACAGTCAGCTCCTGGTCTAGTTTTTACTGATTGTATAGAGCTTCTCCATCTTTGGCTGCAGAGCACATAGTCAATCTGATTTCTGTGTTGACCGTCTGGTGCTGTCCATGTGTAGAGTCATCTCTTGGGTTGTTGGAAAAGAGTGTTTGCCATGACCATCGTATTCTCTTGACAAAATTCTAGCAGCCTGTGCTCTGCTTCATTTTGTACTCCAAGGCCAAAGTTGCCTGTTATTCCGGTTATCTTTTGGCTTCCTACGTTAGCATTCCAATCCCCCATATGATAAGGACATCATTTTTTTGGTGTTAATTCTAGAAGGTGTTGTAGGCCTTTATAGAACCGGTCAACTTCAGCCTCTTCAGCACCAGTGGTTGGGGCATAGACTTGGACTACTGTGATGCTGACTGTTTGGTGGAATGTTAATTTTTGGCACTTTTTTCTGACCCTCCCTTAGTATTTTTATTACCTATCGGAACACACTTGTTCTAATTCCTTCGCTTCGTCCGTTTCTGGCCGTCCTGGTCGCCCGAGTACAGAACCGCACACTGGGACTCCTCACTCGCTTCGTGCCTTGGACACATCCCACACATACAATATCCAGTTCCGATCCCCAACCCCCAAGGCAGTACTTCCAGTCCAGTTTTCCTACCTTGGTCTGTGCACAGAGTTGCCCGATTGCTGCGGAGTTTTCCCTAGATGTCCACCTTTTTACCCGCCTGCTTCACCGTGTTGCCTCCCTCCAGGATCTCCGCTGCGCGCCGAGGGCGCCGTTTTCAGAGCGGAACCGTTGAAATCAACGGGACGCGTCTTTCGTCTCCTGGATTTGGCCACGCCCTTCTACGACTAGTGGAAAATGCCGGACGAGACTCCAAGTTGTGAGCGGCAAAAATACTTAGCCAGAGTCGAAAAATCGACACCGGACAACACGAATACAAGCACCTCTAGTTTATTTCATACATCTTTGCAAAATGGGTGCCCCAAGCAAGAAGGCACACTAAGCATTCTTCGCCATCTTCTTCAATTCCCTGTCGCCGTCCGCAAGAAGCCTTCCCTTTTTCCCCACTGGCTGGTTATTTGAGGGTTTACAGCCTATCCGATATGCCTCGGGTGGGCACGTGAGTCTCCGCCCCTGTTTGACACTAAAGTAACTGCAAATATAAAATGTATATATCTTAGGAACTTTTATCTTTTAGGTCGAACCCCATCAACTGAAAGACTAAATGTTTATCTTCCCTTGATGAAGGAAATGTGCTGCCAATTGAAATTAAGAAGTTCTTCTCAAGGAGAATTAATAGTTTGTTTTTGCCGTGTCTGGTCGGAGGGGGAAGAAAGGAGACGAAACGGCCTCAGTAGGCAAAGCTGGGTTTTGGTTAGTTTCCTCAAGCCAAATTCTACATACTTCCGGCACTCCTGTGAGACAGTCAGGCGCAAAGTACGCAACTATGTTTCCAGAGATATTCAACGGAACTGTTTGAAGTATAAGCACTCCTTCTAAAGTGTAATTAAAAGAGAAAAAACGAGTTGTTGACACCGGCAGTCGGGCCATGAAAGCAAACAGCTCAGAGCAGGCCCTTCCGCCATGAGTGCGCCTCTCGGAATTATCGGGAATTCAGACCGGATGATGGCTAAATTTCTACTTCGCACCGCCTACCAGAGCTCCCGCCTTCCCAGAACCGAAGCGCCTGCTCTGCCGGGAGCGCGTTCAAACGCCAGAGGCATGAGCTGTCGGACTCCCCGCTACAGCCCCGTATTTGCACACTGCTCTGCAAACACCGCGGTGGAAGTTGTCTAGCTGCGGCTCTCGCTTCGTTTGGCGTAGGTCCCGCTGTGCCCTTTCTGTACGGCAAGCAAGACTTCTTTTTGCCGCAGACGGCGCCGCGCCTGCCCCTCTGCCAGCGCGCGCGCGAACAGAGCCCGAGAGACCCGCCGGGAGCTGTGAAGTCACAGCGCCGCCTTTATAGCCCCTCCTCCACGCCCCTTCCAGTCCGACGGACTTCCTCCCCCCGCGCGGTTCTGTTTATCTTTCTTCCGAGCCTCAGATGGGCTCTTCCATCCATAGCCACCCCTCCCCGTCGCGGCACGATCAGTTCTCTGTCTGGCTCCCTCCTCCCTCCGCCGCCCTGACGTAACAGTGACGCGATCCTTCCCATCCCCGTCGGCTGTTCCGCCGTCCTCCCTTCCCTTCGGGGGAAGCTCGCCTGTCGCCGTCGCCGTCGCCCTCTCGCGTCTCTCCCAGCATTTCCGCCTCCTCCCCTCCCCGCTTGGTAGTTGCCGCCGCCGCCGCCGCATCCGGGTCCTGGCGCCGCTCGCTGTCACTATGGTCATGGCGGAGGGGACGGCTGTGCTGAGGCGGAACAGGCCGGGCACCAAGGCCCAGGTAAGGCTAGTGCCCACACGCTTGGCCTCTGACCGCCCTGGGGACGGGGGCGTCGATGGCAACAGCCGCGGCGGGGAAACGGACTCGGGTAACGCCGCGGGGGATGATGGGGGAGCGGCCGCTGGTGTGTGAGGCCTACTCGCGTCCCCCTCTGCCGTGTGGGAGACCCCGCCGCCTCGCTCTGAGTCAGGCTCCGTGGGGGAAAGAATGACGGTTGTCTGTGGAGGGAAGCAACGGGAGGGAAGAGAAGCTTTCCATGGGTTAGGCAAGCAATGCTTGGTATGTGGGGCTGTTCAAGTGCGACGCCCCCACTGGCGCAGGGGTGGATGACAGCTCTTCCTGAATAGTTCGGACGTGTCTGAATATGCTGCTATGCCGCTAAATGAGCCGTGGCTTCAGTGGGGGGGACAGGCAGGCGTTACGGTAGGTATGGAGAGGAAGACCTGGGTGTGAGTTGCTGGAGAACTTGGAGGAGGGGAGAAGAAGGTGGGGGCTGAATATGCAAGCGGGAAGAGTCGGGATGTCTGGGGAGAAGAGTGTGTGGGGAAGGGGTTAAGTAAGGTAATGGTGGTAAGGCAGAGATTTAGAGGTTGGGTGTGTTGGGAGTTTTGCTGCAGGTGAGTAGTGCTGGATGCAGTAGGATGATAGGAAAGGATATAGTGAAAGGAACAATGGGTTGCTGAATTCCCAAAGAGCTGGGTGGAGTTACAGGGTGGCCACTGAAACAGAAGCGGTCTATCCAGTATTATTCAGGATTAGTGCCTCTGAGGTTGCTTCTCTAATGACTTGCTTAAAAAACAAAGGTTTCTCACTGGTGGAGACTAACACTGATTGTAGTCTTTTCTGCTATAGAAACAAGGGTTTAAAGCAATTTCTGTGGTTGAGTTTTCAGTGCTAATGTTAACCAAGTTAAACTTTCCCCTCTCTTGCTTCTGAATATGATTTCAGTTGTTATTTTTGTGCATGGTCCAATAATTTTTATGTAGAACTGGAAAAATGGTGAAAGTTGTGCAAACATATCTCCTTGCCTTCTGTCTCTCACTTTTTATACAGTAGATGTATGTGTAAATCTAGTTTTTGCTTAGTTTCTAAACCTTTGGGAAAATTAAAGAGTATATGTTTGTTTAACCTGCTTTCTAAGAAGTTAAATTTCAATCACTGTCCCATACATACCAATTGAGATCACTTATTGCAAGTCTTCCCAGGCTGTCTACTATAAGTAATATTTAGTATGTTTCATTAACAGTATTGTTAGGATGGTCATGTGCCATAATTTGACGAAAGAAAATTGCCTGAAGGCTTATTTGTGGAAGAATTTAGATGGGAAAGCTATAAAGCTATATAGTATATATAAATAAATGTTATTTATAAAATTGTATAAATTACATGTCATGATTTTTGCTTCTTTAGAGAGAATAAAATCTTAAAGTAATAAAAAAGCAACTTTAAATATTATCTTTCATTTCTTTGTTGCTTCCTAGGTAGATCTTAGTTTTTAAAAAATACCTATGCTATAGCTAGCTATTTCTTAATGGCTGCTTTATCAATCTGTGGGTCTTACTCTTTTTCAGTAAGATAAGCTTTTCCAGCTGAAATGATTGATGAATCATCCTCTCAAGAGAGCTGTGGGAGACATACCTGATAAAAAATGCCCAACAAAATGGGTGTGGGTGGTTATGCATTACTGTAATATGTAAATACATCTATATATCTTTTTAGCGTGATTAGAAAATTATTTGAGCTTCTTCTTTACTTGAAAAATGCCTAACACAACTTAAAATTTAGTTCAGTGAATCAACTTAGAACAGCCAGGAAGAGACTATTACACTGAATAACTAGAGTTATTAATGTACATTCTGCTCAATTAGAAGTACTTAATAGTGAATCAAAATGCTCATCATACAAAATGACACTCAAAATATTGGAAGTGATCTCAGTTGATTATGTTGGAGTTATTTCTCTTATTTTAGTAGCTATTTTATATTGTGGGTTTACAATCTAATAATCCAATCCTATGCATGTATACCATGTAAACTGTACTAGTATATTTGGTACTTACCAATTTCACCCTATAGCTGTGCATACAGTAGCAATTGAAGTTTTGTTTTCACAAAGCTCTGAAATGCACAGCTATTTCAGCATAATAAATAAGATGCTTTTTACAATCTATCTTATCCTTTCTAGTTAAATATTTAGAATACTGCAGATGGCTTTGCAACCTTGCTTTGCTGTTCAGTAAGCATATATAGTGTAATGCAAAGACTGCTGTATCCCTGCAGCATCATGGCCTCTAGCAGTGCATTGCTGTCATTAGAGACCCCATTTCAAAGTGCTTTTCAGTCACAAAGCACCCATGGATCTTTGTTAGTATGCTGAACCTTCCTGATGGTAGAATGGGATTGTATCTGACAGACCACAGATGGAATTAACCACAGCAACATGCTGTACTGGACATTTTGGTTAAAGGTGGCTCAAGTGGTATTATACTGATGGATGTTGTTTTAAGACTTGATAGGTTTTTGTTTTTTCTTCACTTTATCTGGTTTGACTGTGGTTTTACTTTGTAGGATTTTTATAATTGGCCTGATGAATCTTTTGAAGAAATGGACAGCACATTGGCAGTTCAACAGGTACACTGGTTCATTGTATTGCCTATTCTATTAATTTACTTCAGGATTTTCCCATGTGTGGAGAGAGGGGGGCAGTATAAGTTCAAAGATAATTTTATTTATTTTATGTTTATAAAGAGTGCTTGTAATATATCACCGTTAACACACCAAGAAATCACTGATGTTTCAAGCATACTGTAACTTACGTTGTAAATTAGTTAGTTTTTTGCAAGTGTAATTCTGCCATTTGTTCTTTGTTTGACCTTTGGCCTCACATTAATGAGCTTTGACTTACAAAACCAAAATTCTTAATGTGTAATTAATGTCAAATATTGTGCATGCAGTAACAGTTGACTCTTCCATTTTGAAGTTCTGGAAGCCAAACATGAGAACAGGGTGTAAGAAAGTTGGTTTGGGAAGAAAGTTGGGTTGAAAAGATTCCAAATTTTGCTCCAGCCACCATGGGTGAATTTCCCTGCAGATTTTTTTTCTCATGACAGCAGTTGCCATTTGGAATATTTTGGCTACATTAAGGAGTGCTGTAACTTCTCATTATGTGTCCACATAGCAAGCTTGGTTGGTTGGAGGTTGATACAGCCCAAAACCAGCCCATGGGTACTGAATGTTTTGATAATCTCCCCCACAAAGTTCAGAGATAATGAAAATCACCTGTGGATTGAATTGGCTACCTGGTACACACAGACACTGTGACTCACCATGATTAATAAGCCATTGTGGGCTGCAGTAATTGTGCAAACTGGATCAGTATGTCTCTGTGATGATGATAACATTTACATATTATTCTTTTAGTATATCCAGCAAAACATAAGGGCAGACTGTTCAAACATTGACAAAATTCTTGAACCTCCAGAAGGACAGGATGAAGGTGTCTGGAAATATGAACACTTAAGGTAACTGTATCCTGTCCATGAAAAACTAAATCACTGTTCTTCAAAATAATGCTCATTATGTGCTTGCAATTCTAAATCTGAGAAACAACCATAGGAAGGAAGTATTATTCTTTAGATCATGTGGGTACTTCATGTGCATTATAATTTTTTCTGGTTCTTATCTCTCAGAAAATTGATAGATATTGTGAAGGAGGAGAGGGCACTTGCTGAAGCAACCTCTTCTCCTTAAGTTAAACCTGTTCTCCCGGTTGAATGGGTGTGCCATTCAGTGGGGACGGAGACCTGCAAGAGGGCTTTTTCATTTCTTTCTCTTCCGATCACAATCTCTCTTGAAACCAACAATTTACTTTTTTACTTTTTGTACGTGGTTGTTATTTATTTTTCTTCTGTGTTATAGTTATGGGACTTGAAAAATGCTGAGATAATGCACAAAATCTGCTGGTTGAAATCATGTTCAGGCATTTTTGAAGCCATTCTGGTCAAACTCTAATTTTTTTTTTTGACAAATTATTTATACTGAATGAGATAAGAAAAACTATAATTTATCACAGAAACATATACTTAATTCTAAATTTGGAAATTAGTTCTGTTGTATCTAATGCAACATGCTTCTAAATTAGTTTGCTTATGATATCAGAGTAGTGGTTCATGTTCTATAGTAGGAAGGCAATTCAGTGAAACTCTTTTTAAATGCCTTCTTGGGATTGACTTCAGTGCTGAACAGTTCAAAATTGGGGACGTAAGACCTGTACTCATGTCATACTCATAATGTTTTAAAGAATATTGCCATATGTGCTGGCTGATGCCACCATTGCAGGTTTGCAGCACTGGCATACAGATGCAGCACACACGAATTATCGCAGTTGGTATAGGTTTCCTAAAATCACATGCCTTTTATGTGAACTATCTAACTTTGATAAACTTCTTCTCCGGTCCGCATGCACAGGATGTAAATTTGACATGAATTAAAGTGCCCAACAATATAAATATGTGTTATACAGAACCTACTGAGTTCCTAAGTGTGGCTCATTGGTTCCATGTTTCACACAAAATGCTCTGACCTTTCTAAAACAATTAAAATAAATTTTATCGATGGATAGTGTAGGGTTTTCTTAATTGTTAGCCTCCATGAGTATTGTGACTATAATGGAAGGGCTGGATATAAGGCCACATACCTTATATATTTAATGGAAATATGTTTGGCTATTTCTAGTATCTTAGGTTTTTTCTTGAAGATGCAGTCAGAGAAATATTCTGCTTGTGGCAATCTTGTAGTAGATCAAGTTAATTTGGCCACAGAGCATGTTATAGGTCACATGTTATAAGAGTTCTTATAATATGCAATTTCTTAAATGTGTTTTTAAGTGTTCTTAAATGCCCTGAGGAAGAAAATATTTAAAGAACACGTTGAATCACAAAATGTTTGTTTTCTGCACCTTTGAGAGTCTATCCCTCATTTTCACTTTCTGCTTGTAGGTGTATTCTTTCATTTTGATTGTTAAATCAAGCCAACCTGGATAATATGCTCTCTTTATGTTGCACTCAGTCGAACCTACCATGCTGCTGAAAGTCACTGAAATAAAATCTCTGTTCAATAAAGATGATGTTAATGTTTTGTTCTCTAAGCTTCTCTTTGGGTATCTTTGTGCTGAATCTGTAATAATTTAGCTAATGCTTTAACTGACACTGATAGCATTATGAAGTGCTTGTTGAATGGAGTACTCCTCTGGAGAATCCCCTGATCCTGAGGAGCGATGCTTTATATGAGGGGCTGTGGTGAGGGTGTAATCTGAATATGATATGTACACACAGCATCACATGTGCCCAGCTTGCTTGTTTGGGTCTTTCCTAGATTTTTAAAAAGTGTCTTTCAAGGATTTGGCACATAACAGAGTTTGCTGCAGAGGGGGACCACTGTAAATATTAAAAAATAAGTTTAGTTTTCTTTATTGCTATCTTGAAAATGGAAAAGCATGTTTTCAACTTACTTGTTTTAAAATGTTCTTTATTTAGTTTTGGGTAAATGTAATCATTTCAATTGTATCTGATTGTTTTCCTCCTGTTCCATCATTTCAGAAATAACTATTACACCATTTTATGATGCTATGTCTATTCCATCATTTTGTAGTTAACGACTAGACTGTGATGTTTTAATGAAGGGGTAAAAGGCAATAATCTATTGTTTTATGTTCTAAAATTTTAGGCAGTTCTGTCTTGAGCTTAATGGCCTTGCTGTTAAACTTCAGGTAATGATTTTTCTTTTATTTCCCATTTGAATGATAAGAATAAACTGTTCTTTAAAAAAAGTCTTGTTATTTTTCTTTCGCACTTTAATTTTTGTTAGCCTTGGTGGTACGTAAAGTGAGACCACTATTTAAACAAGAGATTTTATTTTTCTCCTAGGCTTAATCTGTATTGTACAAATTTTTCAACAGACTGAATGCCATCCAGACACATGTACGCAGATGACAGCAACGGAGCAGTGGATTTTTCTTTGTGCAGCCCATAAAACTCCCAAAGAGGTAAGAGGAATACAGAAAGGAGCTATCAAGGCACTTTGCTGTTGGTTGTGCTGAATGATACTTTCACACACCTTTATATGTGAATGGAAATAAACAGTCTTTACTCATCTGCCATTCTCTCATTTCCTGAGGTGTTCAGATGTCATCTTGATGGTAATCTTCTGCATGGGTTGGGAAACAAGTTTAAGCCTTGGTTCAGGATTGTGTCAGCCTATCCCTACATGAATAATTGTAGATTCATAACTGAGTATTGCAGGTAATACAGATATATCTCAAGCAGGACACCTTATATATATATTGAGATTATCGTATTCAATACAAGGTGCACAGTCAAATTTAAGTTATCCCCTACCTTTCCCCCCATTTTCAGCCCACTATTACTATTGATATGCTTTAAATAAAGCCCTAGACATCACTTTGTGAGAGAAACCTGATTTTTCTCTAGCTGCGAGTACACATTGTGCTTGAATCTCCAAAGTAAAGGCTGGGAACATTTTTTTCTGTCAAGGGCTGCATTCTCTTGGGACTCCATGGGGGGCTGCTTACTGGCAGTGGACAAAACCTCTCCTTTCTTTCATCACTTCTATTTTCCCCTTCCACCAGCCTGTCAGAGGAAGGACAGATTATTTTTCCAGATGTCTGAACAGATAACTCAGAGGCTAGGACTATGTGAAATCAGACCTACTGTTTTGGGTAGTCCCTTTAAAGCATAAGAGTTGCAGGCTTGGGGTTGAGCTATGATCCCCATTCCCTGGTAGTGGTTGGATTCAAATTACACAGTACATTGTGATGACTTATAAACCAGGGATGGTTTGTCATATTGTCTGAACCTAGTCAGAGTGATTAATAAACTGCGCTGCTGAGTTTAGACACCACAATAAGTCATCCCTGGCTTATAAACCACTCACTTTGACTTATCCTGTTGTGTGAAGCCAGTTAGAATGCTCTCCAACAATAGTAGATTTGTGAAGGAGAACAAACATGTGCAGGCACTGTTCTATGGCTAAAAATGTTTTGTTGAGGCAATCAAGCAAGGTATAGACAAACAGCTGAGGGAATGTAGTCTTCAAACTTTCTTTCAAATTTACTGGAAATCCTTCTAATTCTGTAATTGGATATAATTCTGGCATTGATGGCATAAGCTTTTCCTTATTTCAAATTTATATCATATTCTTAAAGGATTTTCCACCTCTTTTATAATATTTTAGGGTGGAAAGGGTTAACTTCCATTTCCATGATAAGCATAAGAGTTGCATCCATCCAGAAGTGGTGGAACCCCTCAACCTTGGCTTTGCCTTCTGCAGGAGAACAGGGTTAATCAATAGTTCCCAAATTTAAGGCTTAGGAACAGTCATTTTTATTTCTAAGGTTTTTGCCTTGATCTTTGCTTAGATTTCTGCCGCAAAGCTAGGCAGGAGTGTCTCCTCATTTCCAATCTTGTAATTGCTTTAAAAAAAACCTTATTTGTTCAAAGAAGCAGAACAAAATATTTAGGCTTATCTTTATTGTTCTTTGGTAGGGATATTTAGTATTGGGAGCACTCTAGTCAGTATGGTGTTGTAAAAAATGCAGTGGTCTCTATATTGTAGATGTAGTGCACAGAAATTCAGTTTGGACTATGAATTGGTTCCAGTATAAGTCTCCCATGGACTGAAAGGATTCTTCCATCCATGGCTGGTTTCTAATCAAGCAGAATATTTTCGTTGGCAGAATGGAGGCAGTGAACAATCCTCATGGATTGTTTCCCTTCCCTTGCATTCTTCCTGTGATTCCTGAATAGAGAAGGAGATAGCAGGAGGAGGAGGAAGAGGAGGAGGAAATTGGCTGAAATCACCTTGCTCCCACTTCCTGCCAGCAGGGGCAGAATGCTGCTTAGGGCATGCTTCTGCATCTGGGATAAAAGCTGGATTCAACAGAATATATCTAACTTCCTTTTATACTGGCATATGCTCCCCCTTTTTTGTGTAATTTGAGAATGTATCTCTTGTTCTTTGTTTAATCAGTACACAGTGAAATATGAAAATATAATAATGATCTAGGAACAAGTGCAAAATGCATCAATAAGCATTTTGATGAGAATGCGGAGTATAAAATAAGAAGGAAAACATAATATCACATCTAAATTCAGCTGAGGATGTTGGGGGTTTTTTCTTTGTGTTTTGTCCTGGATATGGTTTCTCAGTAATTTGTCAAAATCAAAATATTACTTGAAATGTAGATTAAAGTAATACCTAGGACTGGAAGTGTGTAATGTACATGTTTTTAGTAACCATATACAGAAAATAAGGTGTTGCTAACCAGCTGGTTGAAAACAACCCACTAATGCTTGTGTTTGTGGCTGTTTTGAGGATATACATTTTTTATAGGCTGTTGGAGAAATAGGTATTATAACCCTAATGAATTCTGCTAATTTAGCTCTATAATGGCTGACAACTAACTTGATGAGTATCTAACTCACTCAGTTTGGGTTTGGTAGATTAAAGAAGCATGCCTAGGATTACGCAGAACCAGCTAGTAAGAAAGAGCCTGATCTACCTGGTTCATGTGGTCTGTAGTCTTCTGTCAAGATGCAATTCTGTGCATATTTGGCTGGGGCATACTGCAAATTGTAGGACTTTTTCAGTCTAAGCTTCCATAGAATTGTGCCTTCAGTGACTCATAACTTACTTCCAACTTTGCTGGTTATATTGTACTCTTGACACTTACTGTTATTATTGTTTATTATATTACTATTCTGCCCAATACCTGAAGCTCTATGGGTAGTTCACAATAGCAGATAAAATACAATAAAACAATACAAAATAACAATAAAAATAATGCCAATAATACAATACTTAATGTAAAAGTCAAATTTAAAACTAAATTTAAAAAGCTACAATACCTTACACAAATTAAGTCACAAGAACTGTTAAGCACTGTGGTGAACTGTGGTGAACAATAGGAACATCTGGCAATGCAGACTTTCTGCTGGCATGCAGAACTCTGATGAGAAATGGTTCAGCCCTAGAGCAAGAGAGAATATAAGAAACAGAGGGCCTTTTTACTTAAAATTATGGATGTGACACCTGCATTGAGCACTGTTGTTCCGGGATTGACCACTTTGAGTTTTGAATAAACTGTAATTCATATTAATTCAAATAATGTAATCCAAAGGGATACTGAAACTACTTTTTACACAACTGGACAATTGTCATATATCAATCCGTCAAGGTCTTTCCTACGTTACCTGTAGTCTGGGATGGGGGGCACTTACTCCTCCTGCAGAAAGAATAAGAAAAGAAGAGGCATGTAAGTTTTGGCACCCTGCATGGATATTAACATTGAGAGGACAGTAGATCTGACCACCATCTTCATTTAAAAGAGAGATGTACCTTGGATTGTAATTCCATGGAAGTTGATAGGGATATGAGTGAACTAGCAGATGTGCCTATTTCTAGATAATATTTTGTCCTTGACCTTGAAACCAGTGTGCCATTTGAAATAATAGTATTTATAGCTCTCTTAGCTTAAGTCTTCCATGTCATTCCAGAAGCAAAAGTACCAAAATGTAAAGAACATTGTTAATTTTTGCGTAACATTAGAGACTAGCTTAGTTAGTTAAGTAATTATGAGCATATTTGGGTGGTTTGAGAAATGGGATACTTGAAATACTTGTGGTAAAATATACTCTTTCCTCTTTTAGTGTCCTGCCATTGACTACACCAGACACACATTGGATGGGGCAGCATGTCTTCTGAATAGCAATAAATATTTTCCCAGCAGGTAAAATACTGAAAGAATTGTTGCCATTTTTAATTTTCATAGTTGGGCCGCAAGGAAATTATTCATAATTTTTCTATACCGTCATTAAAAATTTCATGATGGTTTACAAAATTTATTTATGTGATGAATTAATTCTCATCAAGAAACCAGGATTGGTATGGTCTTAACTTCATGTTTTCTGTGCACCATGAATAAAGATTTAGTGCAGAGGCAATAAAAGTAAGGTTCATCTGTAATGTTTGTTATTAATGTTTACAGGGTTAGCATAAAGGAATCCTCTGTAGCCAAATTAGGATCAGTCTGCCGTAGGATCTACAGAATATTTTCACATGCATATTTTCATCATCGTCAGATATTTGATGAATATGAAGTAAGTACTGTAATACTAAGTCTGCAATCCTATACTCAGTTACCTGGGAGTAATCACTGTTGAAACAATGGAAATTACTTTTTAATGGATGTGTGTAGGATCTATATGGGATATACTTACTGGGGAATAACCATAATTGAATATAATGGGTCTGAGTAAACATGCTTAAGATCATACTGTTAATGAAATGCTGTCTTGGAATCCATATTACAGTTGGTTGTACATTTTTATTTTGGCATGCTTTTTAGTACCAGCAGTTATTTATAAAGTCAACTGATAAAGATCTGTTAAAATCTCATTCTTTGCTGGCTAAATCTCATTCTTTGCTACCTTGAAATAGTGTGTTTAGAATTGCTGCTTGAAGTATGCCTACCTCATGTGGTTTTTAATGAGGTACGCTATAATGTAACTGCATGGAACTTTCCAAATATTATCTGTCCGTGAGAGGGTTTTATCCTTAAAACCTGCCTAAAAATAATTTAAAATAAACTTTGGACATAGCAAGAAATGTGGATGGTATATTAAGAGGCTCTTTTGTCACATGCTTGGGTAGGTTTTATCTAAGATAAAGAGTGGGATTTAAATTGATTTTTTCAAGAGTCTGAATTCTGAAAACATTTTCTTATTAAAATATACATTTATTTTGTAGTCATTTAACCTTTTTCTGAGTTACACATTAATTTGTGCATAAGTCACCCAGACTTATTAAGCAATTATATAGATGATTAGGTGACAATAATGGTCTCTTCTTTATACCTTACAACTGCTTGCATAGTATAAAACTGTGAGGATTTTTTTTAATGTGCATTGTGCAGTTCTTTGCCACTTGGTTGATTGATGACCTGATCTTCTGAGAGACCATAAGTGGGTGTTTTTCAAGCATTCTGTTGGGCCACAAGATGCAGATATTGAATTACAGCATAGTTGTTTCTCACTCAAGAGTTCTCTGTGCAGGAAATTATAATGCAAAACATTAATGTAATTTTCAATAGTATCTCCTTTTGTATATCTGTGTTTGGGTTTAATAAGTAGACTTCCTTTTTTCTGTCCTCAGAATGAAACCTTCTTGTGTCACCGGTTTACCAAATTTGTGATGAAATATAACTTGATGTCCAAGGATAACCTGATTGTACCAATTTTAGAAGAGGAGGTGCAAAATTCAGTTTCTGGTGAAAGTGAGGCATGATGAGTATCGTGGACTGAAATGAGCACGTAATTAACATGTACTGTATATATCATTTTAGAAATTTCAATCATGTATCCTTAGAGCTTTGTTTAGTATACTTTTTGTATGCTGTGTGCGTTGCCTCTTAATATGGGATATGGTTTAAGTTATTCATGAGCTGTATATTCTTCAATGTGGCACTCATGGTTTTTAAATAAAATTAGAATTATCTGTTTATACTGCCTGTTAATAAAAGAATTTACAGTTCTGTAAAATTGCTGCTAAACAATCATTGGATCACAATCTTCAAACTTTGTCCAATTTAAACTTAAAGCTTCTCATGTTAATGAAGTTGGAACTTTAGCCTTAGTTTGACACTTTAATTTCAAGAACTTGCAAGTCCATTTAGTTCTAACTTTTGTTGTATTTTTATAGAAAGTACACTTAGCTTAGTTCCTAAGTTTTGCTTTTGGGTGTACGCAGCTATATTACTAAACTATTGTAATACGTGTGTATCCAAATATTCATGATTACAGTATTAATACCAAAAGGATAACTCTTATTATGCTACCCAAAGTGTACTCTTAAGTTGTTTGTTACTTTCTGGATTTGCCTCCCTATATCAGTGGAGGCTTGTGCGTACCACAAAAGGTCATGTGTTTTGTTACATTAAGGCAAAGATTCCACTACATGTTTTCCCTAACTGCACCTCTTACCAGTGGATAAAAAATGTGTTTTCCTTCTTGCCTACAGTAAAGTACTCTGTGGCTTATACCTGCACATATTTATAGTAATTGCTTACAGACTATACCTTGCATTAAACGGTCAAGTTACACTACAGCAGAGTGTGCCAAAATAATTTTACTCATTTGTAGCAAAAGGCTACACAGAATGTTGTATCTTAACCCATCACACACATGCAACTGGTTTTTATCTTTCATCAGTCCAGATACCTGCTTTATGTTCCAGTAATTGAATTCTACCCTTATTTTCTCAAATCTAAATGTATGTTCTTTAAATAGCTTTTTCAGGTTTGCATTAGTGCTAAGTTTTCATGAGAACTACTTTAATGGAGTTTGAGCTATTTTGAATGCTGTAGAGCTAAATATTTTTTAAAACTATAGCAGGTTTTGTTAATTGGATGTACATGAATGCAGAAATCTAAAAGCACTAGCACTGTTGTTCGAACTTGGTGAAATGTTTTAACTTTTTGAAGTTGGTGTATGGTCCTTTCCTATTAAAGACATTAACCAGTGCCCCCTTATCTGTTGAAATAGATATGTTTTGGCCTTTTGCTGGCCAAGTTGACTTTACTTTTTTTGCTGTCCTTTGAAGGTTACTCATTAACTAGAATGGAAGAAGTGAATTTATTTCCTAATATTAGTAATTTTGTTTCAAAGTACATAGCAGACATGCCTTAATTGCATATAATACATTGGAAATTGGACACATCCAATAGCAAGATTGCCACCTTGAAATTAATGGAATCTAAGAATGAGGAGGGACTGGACAGACTTGGATATTCAGTGAGCTGTGTTGGCCACCCCACTCTTTCAGTGTGGCTGTGCTGGTGGCATATTTTTGTAGGACTGGGCTGGAGGTTCTTCAGTGGGTTGACATAGTTCTACCTTCTTTGACTGCTTTTTTCTACTTTAAAATGGTTTTAATGGTCAACAGGGTCATCACATCAGATGGTTCTTAGCAACAGCAGTAATGTCATCCTGCCCACGTGTATCTTGGGCAGTGTAGATCTGATAGATTTCTTACACCGTGTGGCTGAGGAATGGCACTTTAGAGGTAGCAGGGTATGTTTAGCATTGTCTTAATTGCTGGTTCAGTATAGCCTTCTCCAGTAAAAAAAAAAAAAAAAATATGAATGGTGGCAGTAAGCATTTTTGTGTAAATGTGTCATCTTTCAGACTGCAATCAAATCTTAAATACATCTCCCTATTCCAACCCATGCCTCTGAAATAGTTGATCTAGTTCTTAACAAATGATTCGAGTTATGCTGCACTATAAACTTCATATAATCAAAGTAAATGTCCTAAATGGGAAACTGCTTGAAACTTTCCTTAATGCTGTTGACTTAAGTACCTCTGATAATGTGTGTGCACATGTGCCTGCCTGATACTATAGAACTTCAGTAAGCCTAAGTGAACTATTGACTTTGTATGGTAAATATATTGAGGGGGTTTAACTTACTTTCTGCATTATAGGGAGCCAGAGCTATGTTCGTCTTTTGAATTACATTGTAAAAAGTAGAGGTTGCAATTAAATACTTTCTTTTTCCATACCAGTCTATTTTGCTAAATTGTTCTCATTTTAATTTTTTCCATCTAAATTGTATCTCTCTCTCTCTCAAGGTTTTACACTCAAGACTCTCTCTCGCCTTCTCTCTCCAAGTTACGAGTAGTAAAATCAGGGAAGGAAAACTACGGTGGCTTCTTTTCCTTGAGGCATGTGTGCCAGTTGTGTAGCCCCCACTTTCATAATTACCCTTTCTGGGTACAGATTTGCATGTTCTCCAGATCCAGTGTGATGACAGCAGGGGTTCCTTCCAAACCACCCTGCAAGCTGTCTCCATCACCCACCTCACTGGGTTCAGATAACTCAGCAACCTGTGTCCTGTGCTGGTCATTATGGAAAGGAGGTGGTACACAACTGGTACATGCAGGAATTCTTTTCCTTCCCCAGTGTGCGAAACCAGTCACGCTCTTACTGCTCCTTTAAGTAACATCTTCAGATTCAAAACACATTAAAGGCACAGCTATTTACTTCCTGTAGAGAATGTACTTATTCAGGTGCCTGGAGTTGAGCCAAAAAGATACAAAATATATATGTGGATGGGAAACAGAAGTTCTAGATGGTACACTTGCTATAATTTACTGGAGCTTCAAAATAGTCTTCCTACTTAATAGGGAAAATCTTTTTAAAACAGAAAAATATTCCTCATAGTTAAAAGTTGCTGCCAGTATTTTTTCCCTAGGGCTTTAAGCTTCACTGTTTCTGTTCTAGATTCTAGCTCAATTTTAATTTAGTATAACAAGACATTATTTACACATGAAGACAGCTGCTTTTTCCCATTCAGTGGTGTAAACCAGTGTCCTTATTGTGCACTAAACATTAAGTCTTATATGGCTACATTATTAATATTGTAGCATTCTTTGTATGGCCATCACTGTTAATTTCTGTCAGGATTGGAGGCATGCCTATCTCCTTTTCGGTCTGTTTTCTAACACTTATTCCTCATAAATACAATTCAAGTTAGCTTTGATAGGTAAGAGATGTTTCTCTCTCTCTCTTTCTCCCCCCTTTGGTATGTTGGGTTTTATTTCCTATAAAGCAAAATAAGATTGAACTATTTCTGAATCACTGCTTGTAAAGAATCAAATTACACTATTTTAGAGATCTAGATTTGTACACTTATGAACTGCAGTCTTAAACCCTGGCGGGCCGAGGGAGATAAGTACCATCTGTTCTGATATGCAGGGTGTTCCTTGCTTTGTATATGCAGGCAAATGTGTATTTTTGTTTGGTTGGCAAGGTGTGCTATAAATAATAAAACTGGGTTACAATATTGCTAACTCAGAATGAAAGTCAGCTTCAGTTGAGAATACTTGGCTGTCAATAAAAGACACTAGACTATGCTGAGGAGGGCTAAGCATAGAATCTTCACCCATTTGTGAAGATTCTCTTACGATGGGGACAAAACAGCTTGGGGGAATGGAGCAGTTGTGTGAGATATTTAGCAATCTAAGTAAAATATTTTAATGGCAAATAGAGATGTAGCCATTAAAGGATTTTACATGGAGTTAGAACCAGTTGGAACAAGATGTGTCAAGAATGCAGAGTATGTTCAGTATGCCACCATAAACAAGCCCTCCAGAGCTAATGCACTCTTCCATTTTGCTAATTGAGTGGAGGACACCTCGGTGCCTTATTAGCTTCAAGGAAACAGGACAAACTAGAATGGGCTGTTGATGTTGCCTAGAAGTAGATACATAATAGCACAGCAATGGTTGGAGTCCAGAGAGATCTGACGAAATGCTAACTTAAAAAGAATATATAGTTGGTGACTTTGGAACAACCAAATCTGCTGTATGGGCAAAGGAAGATTTGCTTGGTATTATATATGCAGAACACATTTATGAGTGTTGTTGAAGCTGGCACAATAGAAACTTCAATTGCAGATCCATTGGAAAAGTTCTCTTTGAAATGAGGGTACACCTAGAAAATGCAGCGTAGCTCATTTACCCATCAATGTACAGCTTAGGGTTTTTTGTTTTTTTTTTTGTTTTGTTTTTTTGGGAGGGAGGGGTTCACTGAAGATTGAGCAGAGAGTTAAAAACACTATTGGGCAGTGAGCTCACCATACATGATTCAGTTTTACCCAATATACAGGGAAGACTTGCAGTGAATTAAATTGAATTGAAATACCATGAGGAGCTACATGGTTGTACACTGTTACTGATAGTTATAATTTCATTGTACAAAAGCAAGCAACTGCAAAATACAGTTATCATTAAGCTTTCGCTCCAACTTTTTTGTTTAAACATTGACTGGGTTTGCATGACATGACAACCCACCATGTGCAGCCAGTTGTAGTGGGTTGTTGTCATCTGAACCTAGATTGTCCTTACTGTGGCTTGCTAGGATCAGCTACATAACTACAATGCACTTTAATCTGTGTAATATTTGCATTTTTGTCTGATTAATTTCCTCCATTACTAGTGGAATAGGCAATGAACAAGATGAGGGTGCATATAGGTTACTTTCCTCACAGTTGCAAAAAACTGGGGAAGAAATAATAAAGGAGGAATCTATTAATGCAATTCAAAAGCACCAACAATAGGAGAAAAGGGCAAATGGAGTATTCCTGGAAGTGGGGAATGGACAGTATTTTTCCTCCGGCAATGTAATCCTTTGAAGTGTTAATCTGATAACTTGCAGTCTTTCACATTTTCAACACTTGCCCAAATTTCTAGCTGGTCTAGAAATTTCTAAGTTATTAGCTTCCCCAGCTTGTTTTTTGTAACTCTCCTAAGAACAGTTACTGTGCTTCAATGGATGTGTGCAAATCTCAAGGGAGATCCCCACTGGAGAGAGTAAAGGGGGCTCTGTGTGTGTGTGTTAAGTGCAAGAGCTGCTGATACAAGTGGGCCAGTTGCCCTTCTCTGTTTGGCCTGTTTGGTTTATTTTAAAACACTGTGTAAATTTAAAAGGTGGGAGGCAAATGAATGGGAAATGTTGCACTCCTACAATAGCTCCTCTGGAAAAACAACCATAAAAAGGAGGGAAAACAAAATTTCTCCTTTCTGGACTTGCTGAAGATGCAGGGTTGAATGGGAAGAAGAAAAAGATAATGTAATACTAATTTAATCCATCCCATTTTTACTTCTTGGGTATTTTCCAAAGGGCTTGACCATCAAGGACATGAAATCAATGTAATTTTCCCCACTGAGTTGCCTCATAGTGTTTTCTTCCCATTTTTTCAGTTAGAAAAACAACAAACTACTTTCAGATTTATGCTCTGGAATCCAGTTGATTGTTCCTTTCATAGAAGTGCCTTTATTTCCAGGATCAGCACTGGATGTCAGGGAAAGGAGGAAAAACTGAACTCAACCCTGTAGTCCATCTGGATGACCAAAAGGACCCACATGTCTGATGTTACATTAGAAAAATGATGGGCTATGATTTTCTGACAATGATAGATAGTATTTTTGCTAACAACTACACACTTCTATTGTTTTCTTAGTATGGTTAAAATTTTAAAAACACACCACTCTTTATGTACAATTTTAATTCATTCTTAAAACAGGATTAAAATAGCATGTTAGGGCAATGCTATTGTATCATATTTCTGCAGATTGTACGAAGTGTCATGTTTGCAACAAAAAAGAAGCCAATACCCCATCTGCAGTTGCTTCCAGTTGTCAGAAGGCCTGCTGAGACAATCAGTGGCATATAGTGCTGTTTGAGGAATGTAACATCCCAGGAAATAAACTTAAAAGTTAACCCCTCTGCTAAAATACTACTACACAAATAGAGCAGTGCTATGAGCACAACTGCAGAGAGCTGGGAAAGAAAGGGACAATGTATACATACATGGCTAAGGGAAAAGGAAGAACTATACCAACATATATAAAAAGTAGCTTCTAGTTTTGTACAATCCTTTGACATTTGTACATGTCCATCTAATCCAGTTTCTGGTCACATGCAAGTGACTTGAGTGGCTGCATCTTCTTGGTCAAACTGTCCATCATCCAGGTCTCTCAGCATGCCATCGCTACTGTGGAATCCAGCAGGAAAGCTTCCATACTGGATAGATGCATCCTTGCCCCAACACTGGGTAGAGGGTGACAAAAGAAACTCATCTGTAGAGCGTTTATTTTGTGTGGCCTGGGAAGTAGCTGTGTCTAATCCAACATCTCTACTTGAAACTTTGCCTTTTTCTTCTTTGAGTTGCCTGGTTGATTTTTTCTGAAATAAAAAGGGGGGACATTGAATTGGGAAGAGCTCACGGGGGAGGGACCTGATTGATATGTGTGTGGCTTTCAGAATAAGTGCCAAGGGCAGCTGAACATATGCAGGATTTACAGTCTGGCCTGATGCATTGGCTTCCCCTGTACTGATTCCGGCTCTGGCATCCATTGTGTGCAGCCAAACCCAGGCCCAATATGTGGCTAACCCGGGCTGCAGCCAATTTCCTACAATTTTGAAAAGCCTTTCTGTGTCACAAGGTGACCCCAGGTGGTCATACACTGTAGCAGAAACAAACTTTTTTTCAAACTAGGCATTAAGCCCTGCAAGCCACTAGATGGATACGAATTGTGTCTATGTGCTAAAAGATCCTTAACTTGACCCTATCCAGTATTACAACAGTGAGGGCTCTAAAGCCTATTTTTATTATGCAAGGGATCACAGGCTTGATTTTGAACTAGATGATTACTTGCTCAGAATCACCCTGTTCTCCACAGGCAGACTTAGCCCAGTAGAAAATACATGACTTCTTTATTTACATGAAAAAATGTAAATTTACTTCTTCATTTACATCAAGAAAATACATGACTACTTCTTCCAAATGATTAAACCTGTCATTTAGATATAAACAGTATAAACCAATACCAAGTGTTGTTTGGAATCTGGTCTGTACTGCCAAACCGGCTTGAAGAACATGCTGTTAGATGCCATCAAATCTGAATTCTCTACACATGAAAATGAGATTCCTGACTCATCAAATTGGCTACTTTTTCCAGCAACAAATGTGACAGTTTGAGCCTGTCCTCAAAGCTCTAATTATTATTAAGCAGCATCATGTAGAGAGAGACATGGCTTGACACAACTTTATGGTCATAATGGCAAGTGTTTGCCACAGGAAATGACAGTGCAGTACACTGTGATTCTATACAGGTTGAATGTGAAATGACGAGTGAATTTTTGCAGCATGCAAGAGGGGAATGAACTGTGGCCTTTTGCTTGGATTAAACTCCTACAGAGGATCAGCAGTGGGTTGACCTTTACCACTTTTGAGGAACAGAAGCATAAGGTCTCCATTCTGTGTCCTGTTATTTCCTTATGACTCAACACCACAATCTCCTGGATCAGTATGTAGGGGGCAAACACTACAAGATCCAGCTAGTTCATATCCTTTGCATAACAGGAACCTGATTTTGGAGATAGACAGGTATTGAATACTGAGCCTTCTAGCTTTACTGAACTGATCACCTCTAGAAGGAAATCTCACAGAACCAAAACTATAGACAGCTTATCCAGAACAGGGTTGTCTGTTCCTGTCCTCTCTTCTACATGTTCTTCTAATTTATTATTTTTAAATGGTTAAAGAAGAAAATACTGGTGAGAGACAGGGATGTCAGGGAGGAATGTATGGTATCGCCTTTAAAGGCTGAAGGCACAGTCCTGTGTAAGTTCAGGCAGGAAAACGGGGCCTGCAACTCTCAGCATACCCAAACTCTGAGCATACCCAATCAGCCATGCTTGCTGGAGCACACTGAGAGTTATAGGACATTTTTCTATCTACAGAGACATAGAATTATGCTCTTAATGACTCAAAATAGTCATTACTGTAAAAAATCTTGACTGAAAGTTCTCTAGCATAAATTGTCACTAAGTACTCATTTCTTTAATGAGTCTTCCTTCCTTCCTCTTGGAAGCACTACAATACCAATTTAAATCCAAAATATAAGTCCCCTACAAACTTTTGATGCAAACTGAAACCAGTGGGTCTTTTCCCATGTAAAGAGAAAAGGACCTTCAAAAATGGAAGACTCTGACTCTTTGTTTGATAATTACCAGCATCAAGTATGGGTACAATTTCACTCTATAAATCAAAGCTACCATCAGTATTGCATGAATGAAAACTTGTAGTTAATATTACAAGTATTTTGCTATAATATCTGGAAAAAAGTATTTTTCAAGCCTGTAGAGCTCCAGAGAGACATTGGGCTTGATCCTAAGAAGTGCTCACTGAGGGCTGCTGCTGGTGGTGGTGGACTTTCCCATCTTCTCTCTACAATGCTTCTCCTGAGGAACAGGGAAGCCCCCTCAATAGAGGCAGTTGCAGGGGGAAATAGTAACAACACCGGGCAATTTCCCATGAATTGAGCTCCCAGCATCCAGCCTTTAGCAATTCTGTTCTGCCTTGCACCATGGGCCCTTCTCTTCTGGATGCTCCCATTTCTACATGCAAGGCTGGGTGGGGTGGGGTGGAGGCAGTACAGGCAGTTTCTGCAAGAGAGCAGGAAGTTCACCACCACCAACTTCCTTTGATGGGCATTTGGCATGCAGCTCCCTGTGGAATCCAAGCCAATAAATGATCTAGATTTAACAAATGTCCCTGGCAGTTTATGATGTTGGCCATTTCCTCGGTATTCAGCAAGCCTCTCTTTGCCGTGTCGGTTCAGTTTAATGAGGAAACACCTCACTGGTGCTTCCCTGCAAAAATCAATCAGACATTAGCTTGCATTTTCCATTTCCTTTTTAGCTGCTTTTGACCTTTGTGCATTTGGAATAAATAAGAGAAAATATTGTAAACAGGATAAAACATGAGTGATAACAAAAGGAAGCAACAGAAGGAGGAGGAGGAGAAAAACTTTCCCTGTATGAGGCATTACCTGTCCATTCCAAGTGTGGCCTCTGTGAGACGAGAACTGCATTCCTGTCGCTATATTGCTTAGGCTTCTGGATTTCATTTCATTTTATTAAAAACTCTGAACATATGATTATGGTGGATGTTAGTGGTGTAGAGAGAAATGGGGGAAGCTACTAGCTTTGCCACATTTGGTTTGGTCAGCCAAAGATTTTTAGCTAACACTGGGAGAGAGACAGAAACAAAACAACACAGATTCCACGTCAACGGCAACTGTTAGTGTTACATAATACCATTGGTTTTATAAAATGTTTCTCACTTGGCAGCAGTTGGGAGAGGGGCTCATCTTTCAGCTGTAGTTCTGAAAAGTGACTACTACATAAGTTATTCCAAAACAACAAATGCAGCAATTCATTCAACACAACTTGTGAGGGTGCAGCAGACACTGGCCAGTCATGTATCAGTTTTCAAACCACTCAGTGCACATTCCAAAGGAGTTAAATAAAGCATGCTTCTTTTTCCATCTACATCTAAAATATGCACAGTCTTAAAAGAAATCAAAAGAGGACAGAAACATCTCAGAACTATCCTAACAGTTAGTAGCCCTCTTGTCATCTGAAAAGAAACGCAGCCCAGCCAAGTGGATCTAAGGCAGATACAGGGAGCTGCTATCTGGACTTGGTGGCAAGCCAGGAAACTGTGTCATTAACTGTCAATTTCTACTGTCTCTCTGAATCAGTGTTTTGTTACAGGGATCAGACCTGGATCTCCCAAACTACAGTGTTACAAGGTGGCTATTTCAGACATTGAATCTGAATTGGAAGAAGAGGCGGGGCCAAATACACCTTCGAAATGCTATGGCTACTGAGCTTTGAAATAAGCCATGTGGCTTGTGAGAACCAGTCTGCTTCTAGTTGAGAGGGAGACACTGTGAAACGGGGAGGGCAAGTGTGATTTTCTCAGCCCTGTGGTGCAGCATCAAGTCAAGTAAGCAAACCTTCATCCTTCTCATCACCTGGCCCACAAGCAGTGTGAACATCCCTGAGGGTGGAGCCACCTCTGTTTAGTGGAGAAGGTAGGAGGGGGATTCAATTTGGAATCACCTCCTGGTCTGGCACATGACAGCTGGTGTAACTCCCTTGACACTGAGCAAAAAGAGTTTGTGATCCACCAAAGCAAATGCAGTCCACCCACCCTGCAGAAGCCTCTAAATCCATCAGTTTGTTAAGTCAGGGAACAGGAAGGTCTCTTGAAAAGTAACTGATAATGGAAGAGAAATTATTTTTAAAGGCAAACCTGAACTCAGATACAGGTGGTTTGGGCATCTTTTTATCAAAATAGATTTTAAGTGTTGTTTTGCACATGTCCTTTGCAATAGTTGCTCCCAGCAGCAGCCCACTTCCCTTCTTTCCTCTTACTCGTAATTTTCATCTTAAAATTTTCTTTAACTTTTGAATATATGTCATGCACTTGAAAAGTCTGTTTTTCAAAACAGCATTTTTAGAAATGTGAACAAAACAGTGTGTATATTCAGCAGATAGCCAGAGCCCTATCTGAAATTCTTACCCCAGAAATAAAATAAATTTGTCAGATGACTGTGCTACACAATGGGAAAAAGGAATTTGTATAATAGTGGATAAGTGAACAGAATGGATGGATTGTGGTGGAACCTCTAAAGCGGGAAACCTGGGAGGCTGGCCTATGCAAGCAAGAGATGAAGAAAACAAAAGCATCACAGATGTGAGAATATGCTACACTTCATGTGGTAACTGCAGTTACTAAGTTGAACACAACAGATCACAATAAGGGACTATTAATTGTCCACATGCCTTTGCTCAATAATAACTTTCCTCCTGTACCCTGTTCATATGTATCTTGATGACTTGGTTGAGGTTTTCAGTGTCACTCTCTTCAGTTGTGCCTAGTCAAGCTTGATTGTGTGAACTGGCACTCCTAAAGGAATCTCCACAGTTATTTCAATGTTGCACATTTGAGGAACAGGTGGTCAACAGACACGGAGCATGGGAATGAATGAATGCAAATCATCTGTGGAGTTCCTAATTTTGCTTCTGGATGTATTTTTGGCCATGCTATAACAGCTCAGTATTCTTAGTAAGTACACAATGGAAGACATGGTACTAGACGTGGTACTGAAGATATCCACGCCTGTAGCTTGTAGAGATGCCATCCAAAGGAAACTGTTAACCCTTGCGGGTTATGGGTACTTGATCCAGAGTGACTAGTGGGTTGCTGCCAGCCATGGATGTAGCAGTTGGTACTGTTACCACACCCTGCTCAAGCAGCTGTGCAGCAGCCAGCATGGTTTCTGCCCAGATAGTACTCAGGGAAATTACCCAGCTGAATGAAGGATCATCTGAGGTCAACAACTGCAGAAGCTATTATGAGCCTTTCATTTATTTCATGTTTTTTCCACCCTGAAGGAAATGGATGATTGTCTGCTGCACAGCTCATCATAGTAATTGCATAACTTCACACAATATGCTCCTTATAGTTGGGGGGGGGAGAGATTCGGCTGTAGCTGTAATAATGAAGTTCTTTCTTTCACAGGCAGAGTCAGGCATAATTTGTATAGCTGCCCTGGATTGGAGGGGCATGCCCAAGTTTTTCAGGGGGCTTTGCAGGATACACAACTAAAATCCTAGGTAGAAAATAGCTGAATTGTTTTTTAAAACTCCATGTCTTAGTCTATTTGTTAAACAACAAGCCCACAAAAGAAAAAAGGACAAAAGAGACACAGATCAATCAGAGTTATCTGAGCCAATTGCTTTGGCCTGGATCCAAGGATGGTTTGACTAAGCTCCAAGGCGCTTCTGGTTGTTTAAGGTAGCCCCACTGAATTCTCTAGACCACCCCCCTGTCCACTGTAGCTCCCTCCTGTTCAAAAGGGTCCCTTGTCCCTTTAGGCTTTTGGGAAAGACAGAGTACCAGAGGTTATTATAAACCTGTATTGTGAAATTTCAACAAAATAAAGCAAAAAGGCAAGTAAAGGAAAACCTAGCAAGGAAGGGGACTGGAACAGCCAGGAAAGGCATGCAAGTCCCACTGAGCAAGGGGAGATCTCTTTCATCTAAGGCTCCAGTCCTCTGATGTTTTAATGCTCTGCGTTCTGAAGCCAAAATTGGCTATCTGCATAATTACTGATGATACAACAGGTTAGTCAGTTATTTTTCCTCATCTGTATTTTTTGTCTGTTCATACCTATTTAGATAATCCAATCTTACCTCAGGTGTTTGGATAGCAGGATTCCACATTACAGGTCTCTGAAGAAAAACCACTTGCTTAGTTGCCAGATTTCCTTCACTGAAAAATTAAAGAAGCTGTTTTTAGAATGTTCATTTTAATTTATATTTGTTAATTAAATTTTACTTACTTTTCTATAACATGGACAGAAATGAGTGAGGTTGATGTAGGATAACTTTCCATAAATATTACACATGTCCCCACATAGTCCTAACCATTTCTCCCACATATTCACAAACATTTAAATATTATATTTCTTTCATCAAGAAACTCATGGCAGCATCCAAATAGTCTCCCATTCCACATTGACCAGATCTAAACCTGCTTAGATTCATAAGGACCATTTCTGGCCACCAAAACTATCATATGAAGGACCAATATCCCACCAACCTTAGCCTTATTACTCTTACATTATGCATTATGCCTTTCACACTGGTTAGCTCTCCGAGATTGGTGCAGTTCTGAAGGCAGATTATTCCACACATTGTTTTAACGCTTTTAAAAATTTCCCTATGAGATTTCCAATTCAGCTGTTTCAATCATATTTCAATTTTCCACAGGAATCACCTCAGATGAAATTTATTTCCTGCCAGATATTCTGAGTAAGAATCCTTGACTGATCTTCACATAGTTGTGGGTTTTTGCTTTTAAACAGAAAATTATCGACGCAGCTGGTACAATGAACAGCTTGCATAAAAGAACATATTAGCTGCAATCCCAAAGTCTACACAAACATGATTCATACATATACTTTAGATAATTTTCTGAGCATTTATTTCTCAAAAGCTTTTCTCAAAAGCTGAATTTGGGAATTAATATAAACACACATACTTTTTAAGCTTAGGGGGAAAGTGTGCATATCCTGAGTGCAGTCTCCCTTAAAAGGAAAAAAAGGACCATGCCAAATTCCTGAAGTGCATCTTTAACTCATGGGAACTGAAGGAGCAATTTGGGGCTCCCATGGAGAACAACCTCTGATATGGAATTTTACAGAAGTGTTTGTACACATGCACAGGCTACCGATACGTCACAGATAATATTGTTTCCTTAAACTTAGATGTGACCCAATTCACAAGTTTGAAATTGACAGAAGTTGAAATCAGATGCCATTCAAGTGCTAGACCCCAGAGGACCTGGAGTTTTGATTACACACTGAATTGTGACAAAGCCAACAGAATGAATTAGGAGAACACTGCTGCAACATGGGCAAGCTGGAGCCCTATATGGCTCTTGTGCATCTCTGGGTGTCCAAGTTGCTGCCACCCTATTGTTGAATTTCCCACTCCATGCTGCTGCTACTGAAAGTTTTACTGGAAAAGATGGTGCATAAAAAGGAAGTGGGTGAGATGGAAGAGAAGGAAATTGCTGGGAGAAGAAAAAATGAAAGACCAAGAGACAGAAACTCAGGAAGGGAAATTTCTAGCATAACAAAAATACCAAAGAGAGAATGTACAGGTTTTGAGACTGTCAAATAATACAGGCTGTACAGCCATTCGGGTATGATCCCACAGAATGAAGTTGTTTAAAATCTTGGGGTTACAACATGAATATTAAAGATAATATGCATCTCCAAGAGAATTCCTCCAAATCATAATGAAAGTCAGTAATATGCTTGCACTTTCTATTGGATATGCATGAAACTTTTAATCCTCCCAACAGCTCTGAAACTTGTTAGTATAAAGTGTTTGCAATACCTAAATATTATTTCTATATGGTAAACAGTACGCATCCAGCTTCCATACACTTTTCCTTATTTTTCTGTGATTTTTTAAAAATTAACACCACATTTGACATTTCAAAGCATGTCTCCCAGCAAACCACAACAATTAACGTTCTGGTTATCATTTATTTATTAGATTTATATCCCACTTTTTCTTACACCACACTCAAAGGGGCTTACATCATTCTCCCCCTCCTGCACTCTTATCCCCACAGCAAAAACCCTGTGAGGTGTGCTGGGCTCTCTAATCACCCAGTTGGCTCCATGGCCAAGTGGGGACTAGAACCCAAATTTCCTGAGCCTCAGTCCCATGCTCTTGGGCACTACACCGCACTGGCTTATATTTTTTCCAAAGAGTTCAAAGTTGTTTACACGATTTCTCCTCTACCTTTTATCCTCACAACAAACACTTAGGATGCATTCAAATGAATCCATTCAAGTTCATGCTTGAGCTGGGATTAGAAGAGCCTGGAGCATTCCCAGTTCTGGTCCAAGAAGTGAACACACACACACACACACACACACACACACAAAGGCCAGCTTACTCCCATATGTACCTAACTGTCCACCAAGATCTGGATTAGAGGTCTTAAAGGATCATCCCCGCAAAGAGGATGGCAAACAGAAGATGGGTCTTTTCAGTGGTTGCACCTCATCTCTGGAATAAGCTTCCCAAAGTTCGCCTGGCATGTTCATTGCTAGTGTTTTGGCACTAGGCAAAGACGATTCTATTTTCCAGATATTTTAATAATTGATTGCTAGTGATAGGTATGAATTTTAATTTATGATTTTATGCTACCATATCTGTACATTCTTTAGTTGAATCTCTACAGATGTCTATATTGTATTAATTTATGAAATGTATCTCTTTTATTGCTGATTTTAAAGTGGAATTGTACATGCCAGAGAGCCAATGTAGGGGTACAGGTACAGTTTATACATTAAAATAAAATAAAATCACACCAGCCCTCAAATTTAAGTGTAAGGATGTAAGCTACCTGGCATAAAGTCTCACTGAAAACAGATGGGTTTAGTTACAATCAACTTGCCCCACTTGTTTCAAAGGAACTTGAAACTGTATCATGGTCTAAATTTGTCACCAAAAACCCCTGTTCATAATGACAATTCTGGGGAATGTGTTATTGAAGAAAAAAATTTACTCCTTGCCTCTATTGAGGCAACAAAATCTGCTTCCTGAAAACATTTTGCATTAGAACAAGTGCTGGAGTTTTGATGCAGTTGCAAACACAAAATCATGGCATACAGGATGATGGTGAGCAGTTTGTTTTGAGTGTTGTTTGAATAGGGGAGTCTGTGCTTATTGGATGGGGCAGACAGCAATGTCTATTATCAGCTCAAACAAAGTTCACCTCCATTATTTCTAGAGCTTCCACCATGTTTGCTTAACAGATGCTCTGTGCCTTCAACAGCTGCTTGACAAAATCCAACAGGTTCAGCTTTTTCCTGACAAGCAGGATGGTGAGAAACAAACTGCTTTTGCATCTCATGCAGCTGTTAAAAACAAAGAGCTTTTGTGAAGAAAGGGAAAGGTGGCAACTTTTAAAAATATGTAACTCTGTATAGCTGGATATGTGCAATTTTATGCACACAAAAGGATGGAAAATTGAGATGGACTGTTACAAGCTTGCTCAAGGTGCTGACAAGGCTAATAGGCCAAGCGCAGACTCTTCTCTGACTGAATCTCTTCCTATCTGTTTGGGACCTTGGCCAGCACAACATAAAGCTTATCTTAAGTATTATTTTAGTTTGGCAGAATGGAAGCCATTGCAGCACTACTCTTTCTTGCTTTTATTAGGTAAAAGGAGAGGTCTGTACTTAGGTGTGAGCAGCACTGCAGTGGAGCTCAGGTTCACAGGACTGACATTCCAAGATTTTTTTCCTTTTTCTTAGCAGTGCTATAACATCATCTACCACCAGCCTGGGTGTCCTTGGTCCCTCTGAAATTAGTTGCAATGTTTAGTTTCTGGGTGAAAATGGATTTTCCTAACAGTATATTGTTGTGAGCTATGCATGTGATAATGTATAGTACTTTGATGTGGCTTGATCTTGAATGGGCAAGTAAGAACCATGAGCTTAAAACAAATCTGCTTGTGCTGAAGATGAAGCTGCTAGAACTAGTTTGTTGATATGGATAAATACAGCAGCCCCTATTCTGGACCCCCCTAGGCATACTAACATTATGAGTGCCGACACTTTAAAATGTAAAACTTGGTGGGAGGAACCAAAAGGGAAATCCATAGTGTTGCCTACTTGCAATACTCCTTTACCACAGATGGTCAAGCTTTGGTAGGGATGTTTTTATTGTTTAGCAATGTTGCGTCCGACCCATCATTACCCCATGGACAACATTCCTCCAGGCTTTCCCATCCTCCACCATCCCCTGGAGTCCACCTAAGCTCACACAGACTGCTTCATTGACTCCATCTAGCCACTTCATCCTCTGCCGTTCCCTGCAGAAACAAAAAACAAATCCCTGCCTGCACCCCTCCAAACAAATGTGCAGCCCTCATTTTTCATGCAAAACAGCACAAGTGCACATACATGCACTCACTGCATACTTGCATGCAGCTTCTAGCTGTTGTAGCACAGCCAAAGCACAAGTCCTTACACTTGCAGGCTGAAACAGTCTGGCAGCATCCTAATTCTAGTGGATTCGACTGGAAAAGGCTAGGAAGGTTGCAAAATGAAAGGGGAAGGGGAAGGCATTATGTTACATGCATGTTCCCTTCTTGATGACAAAAGGTGTAGATCCTAAGTATTTTCCAGGAACAAGTAATTCTTCTTTGCCTATGCATCCAATCACATACAGCTGAAAACTAATCAAGGCCATTTAACTCTGGCTAAATTTTTACTTTAAAAAGAAAAAAGGAATGGGTGAGTGTATTGGTTCGTCTGTAAGTAACTTTAGAATGCGAGATGTCTGGCCTTATTAAAATGCTAAACACGATAATGTCCAGGAGCTTAATTCACAATTGAACTGAGTGATGATGGGATTTCCACTGAATTTCAATGAGGGAAGAAAAGTGCATTAAAAGGAGCTGTTTTATAGGTTCTCACATGCTTATTTCCTTTACCAAAAATGTATGTGGATTTGGTGGAATAATGAGAGGAGATAATCCATTTCTGTCATTCATTCACTTTAACACTGTTTTTGTATCTTTAGAAAAGAATACTGTTTGTAAATTACATTTAGTTTACTGTTGAAGCTGGTGGCCCTAACAATTTGCTGTTTGCAGAACGGAATGTCTTGCCTGTTTTCCCAGACTGCAATAACTGGTGAAAGGAAATAAAGGCCACTGAAAACAGGCTGATTGAAGCG